GAAAAAATAATCCCATATACTGAAATTTTAAAAAGTGGTTAAATTTTGGATTCCAAGTTGGCTGAGAAGTGCTCAACATTCACCTTATCCTCCAAAGAGAAGAACTCAACCCATATCAAATAGTTGCATTTCAAGGTGGGAGTCCAAGAGGAAACACTGGGAGTTAACACGGAGACACAGGAACCCTGTAAAATGCAGAGACCTGACATGGCAGCAAAGAAACAGGATTACGTCTTTACTTTACACTGATAACTTGGAATATAAAATGGATTGAATTCTTCAAATGAAAGATACAGATGAACTTAATAGATTAAAAAAAAACCAACAATTTTCTGTCTATAAGGAATTCACTTCATCAGTAAAGATACACACACAGATTAAAAATGAAAGGATAGAAAAAGATATTCCAAGCTAACAGCAAAAGTGAGCAGGAATAGTAGTATTCAATTTAGAAAAAAGGGACTTCAAGACAAAAATGAAAGAGAGAGACCAGATTGTCATTTCATAATGACCAAGGGCTGGATTCCATGAAGATATAATTGTTGTGTTTGCACCTAAAGCTGCAGTATCTGTTTTGTAAAATAAATTATTATATCTAAAGGGAGAGAGAGGCTTCACTACAGTAATAGTGGGGAACTTCCATATTACATTCATTCATGGATGGAGCATTCAGACAAAACATCAACCAATAAATTTAGTGTTAAATTCTATACACCAAATGGATCTAACAGATGTTTACGGAACATTGTATTCAATAGTTCCAAAATGTATGTTTTGTCTACCAGTACATGGGGATACTCTCCACAATAGACCATCTATTAGTTAGTCTCAACAAATTAAAAAAAATCAAAATCATACCACGTACCATTTTTGACCATGACGGAATAAAACTAGAAATCAGCAACAAAAGATACTTTAGGATTTATGCAGATACAAGGACCTGAACAGCATGCTGCTGAAAGAACAGTGGGTCAAAGAAGAAAACTTTCTTGAAACAAATGACAATGGAAACAACATACAAAAACTTATGGGTTATTGAATAAGCAACGTTAAGAGGGAAATTTATGGTAATAAGTATCTACATAAAAAAAGATTCAAATAGATCATGTAAACAACGTATCTCATGGGCTGAGAAAAGCAAGAATGAACCAAACCCAAAATTAGTAGAAGGAAAGAAATAAAAAAGACCAAACTTGAAATAAATGATAACTACTAGACTGTGATATAAAAATCAATGATTTATTTTGTGAAAATTAAACAAAATCCATAAATCTTCAGCTAGACCAACCAAGGGGAAAAGAAAGAAGACTCAAATCAGATATAAAAGGAGATTTTGCAACTGATATCACAGAAATATAAAGGATCATTAAAGACTATTATGAACAGCTAAGGTCAAAAAATTGGAAAGCCTAAATGAAATAGACACTTTCCTAGACAGATATAACATACCAAAATTAATCCTTGAAGACTCAGAGAATCTTAACATGTCATAATTAGTTATGAGATTGAATCATCACTCAAAAGTATACCAATAAAAAAAGCTTGGGATCCAGATGGTCTCACTGCTGAATTCTACCAAACTTATTAAAAACAAACAAACAAACAAACAAACAAAAAAAACTAACACCAATTCTTCTCAAATAATTTCAAGAAAATTGAAAGTGAGAGAAGTCTCCCAAATTCATTCTACAAGGCCAGAATTACCCGGATACCAAAACAAAACAAGGGCACAACAACAAAAAAAAGAAGACAAGAAAATTGTGCACCAATATCTCTGATAAACACAGATGTAAAATTCTCAAGAAAATGTCAGGAAATCAAATCTAACAGAATATCAAAAAGATCACTCTCCAGGATCAAGGAAAATTTATCCTAGTCATGCTAGGATTTTTCAGTATACTCAAATCAATAAGTATAACACATCATTGTGGCAAAGCAGGTAAAACTGCTGCTTGTAATGCAGGCATCTTGTATGGGTGTCAGTTCATGTCCTGACTGCTCCATTTCTGATCCAGCTCCCTGCAAATGGCCTAGGAAAAGCAGAGGAAGATAGCCCACGTGCTTAGGCCCCTGCCACCCGCACGGAAGAACTGGATGAAGCTCTTGGCTCAGTCCTGGCCTTTGTGGTCCCTTGGGGAGTGAACAATAGATGGAAGGTCTCTCTTCCTCTCTCTCTCTCTTTGTGACTTTGACTTTCAAATAAATGAATCTTTTAAAAAATACATCACATGAACAGAATCAGGGATTAAAATCATGTAATCATCTCAATAAATGCAGATAGTATTCAATAAAAATATCCATTCATGATAATTTAGTGTTTTTAAGGATTTATTACTCGAGAGGCAGACTGACAGTGGCAGATGCAGAGAGAGATATTTCATGTGCCACTTCACTCCCCCGATGACTGTAGTGTCTGGGGCTGGTCTAGACCTAAGCCAGGGACCTGGAGCTCCATCCTGATCTCCCATGTGGTAGCAGGGGCCCAAGTTTTGGGCCATCCTCCTCTGCTTTCCGTGGTGCATTAGCAGAGAGCTAGATAAGAAATGGGGCAGTTGGGGCTCAAACCAGCACTCTGATATAGGGATGGTGGCCTGCAGGAGGTGGTTTAATCTGTTGTGCCACAATGCAGGCCTCTGAATAAATTTTAGAATGAACATATTTCAAAATACTAAAAGCTATATTTAAAAAGAACCCACATGTGCACTATATTTAATGGGGAAAAGTGAAAAAGCATTTCCCCTATGAGCTGGAATGAGATAAAAATGTCTACTCTCAACATTCTTATTTGACATAGTACTGGAAGTCTTAGCCAAAGCAATTAGGGAAGAGAGAAATATAAGGCATACAAATAGGGAAGGAGGAAGTCATATTACCCTTGTTTATAGACAATGATGACTCTCTCTCTATAAAAACCTGTATTTTACAGCAAGGCTATTAGAACATGTACATAAATTCAATAAAATAGTAAGAAACAAAATCAACATGCAAAAAACCAATAACTTTCTGAGAAAGAAAAAGCTGCTACATTCACAATAGTTTAAAAAAAAAAAAAACTAGGAATAAATTTAACCAAGGATGTGAAAGACCTTTAAAGCAAGAATTACAAAACACTCTTGAAAAAAGTTAAAGAAAACTCACACACACACACACACACACACACACACGGAACACTTCCTCTGTCCATATGTTGGGATAATTAATATTGTTAAAATCCATACTACCCAAAGTGATCTACAGATTCCCCACAATCCCTCACAAAATACTGATGATATTGTCCACAGAGCTAGGAAAAAAAATCCTAAAATTTTTATGGCAACACAAAAGACTGTGAATAGCCTAAGCAATCGAGCAAAAAGAAGAAAGTTTGAGGTGTCACAGTACCTATTTGCGAGGCATACTATGCAGATGTACTAACCACAACAGCATGGTAGTGGCGTACAAAACAGATACATAGGCCAAGGAAACAGATTAGAGGTCCCAGAATTCAACCCACACATCTACTAGTTCTTGACAAAGGAACTGAAAACATACATTGGAGAAAGAACAGCCTTTTTGAGAAATGGTGCTGAAAAAATTGGATCTCCATTATGTAGATGACTGAAACTTGACTTCTTACTCCTATGCCACCTCACTCAATACAAAAATAGGTCAAAGACCTAAATGTAAGAGATGGAAGTATGAAACCACAGGGGATTCATAGGAAAACATAGGGGAAACATTTTAAGACATCAACATAAGCAATGAGGCAATGATTTTTGGGTTACAACCCCAAAGGCACAGACAACAGAAGCTAACAAGGACAAAAGGGAATGTATCCAACTTCAAAGCCTCTGGACAGCAAAGAAACTATCAACATAATGTAGAGACAACCTTCAGAATGGGAGAAAATACTTGCAAATTATGCATCCAACAAAGAATTGATGTCCAGAACATATGAGGAACTTCAAAAACAAACAAAAAGCCAATTAATTAATCTGAAAATTTTCTAAATTGATATATCTCAAGAAGAAATAAAAATGACCAGTGAAAAAATGTTAAATATCTTTGGCCAGTAGGAAAACAAATACCAAAACTTAAATAAAATATCATCTCATCCTAATTAAAATGACTCATCACAAAGACGAAAAATAACATGCTGATGGGGCTGTGGAGAAAAGAGAAACTTTATACACTGTTGGTAGAAATATAAATTATGACAGCCATTATATAAAACAGTATGGAGATTCTTCAAAACTAAAATTAGGTAAATCATGTTTCATCTGTCCCACTTCTGGAATATATCCCATTAAAAAGAAATCACCAATGTCAAAAGCATACCTGAATTTCTGTGTTTATTTTAGCAGTGTTAACAGTAGTCAAGATATGGAATCAATGTGGGTGACAACTGATGAGTAAATGAATAAAGAAAATAAGCTATATATTCATAGTGGGATATTATTCAGTCATAAAAAGAACAAAATCTTGACACTTACAGCACAATGTATGGAACTGGAGAACATTTTATGATGTGAAATAAGCCAGGCACAGAAAGAGAAATATCACATGTTCTCTCTCATATGTGGAAGCTAGAAAAAGTCATTACAAATGTAGAATAGTGATTACTAGATGCTGGATGGATTGGGATGCCAAAATACAATTTAATAGGACTAAATTATGGTTTCCCATTGCTCAGAACAGTGGTTAGAGATCACAATAACATTATACTCTTATAGTTCATTAAAACTAGAGGAGAAGAACTCAGACTCCAAACATAAAGAAATCTTGAGGAAGTGGAATTGCAAATTACCTATTTGATCAGTACATGCTGTATACATGTGTTGAAGTATCATACTGTGTCTCAGAAAAGCATACAAGGAGAACTATTAATCAAATTTTTAAAATGGTAACATTTTATTGAATACATACCATATGCCAGATCTAAGTTTACATTTTATGTATATTTTTGCATTTAATTTTCAAAACATTCCAATTAAATAAATTCTATTTTACCTATATTTTAGATGCTGAATCTAAGATCCGCAGGGATGCAGGAAACTTGCCCAGAAACTTCAACCAGAGGTAGGTAAGCTGTAATTTGGATCCAGCATGTACTTTGGATGCCATAATCTTACTTTTCTTCATTCTTAGCTATATCTATTTAAGGGACATATAAATTGATAATGCTGTTCTCAGAGACAATTTAGCAAAAATCAATTTAATTGTAAAAAAAAAAGCCTCGTAGGCTTTTACGTATGAATTCCTCTTTTAAGAACATACTAATATGAGAAACATGCAGGATTATATGTACAGAGATATTATACTGTGGACCATAGTGAGAAACAATTCAAATCTCAAGGAATATACGAGTAACAGGGTGAGACACTTATCTGCTGTGTAAGACACATGATGTCTTTTTAGTGATGATTTGCTTGGCCATTGTATTGGTGGGCTATTAGAAATTTCAGAGGAATTTTAAATGGATTGCAAGTCACATTTAACTCATTTCTTTGGCTTCTGCTGTAATGGCTGTGCTTCAGGTCACCTGATTCTTGTAATGATAACCTTTGTCTTCTAAGTATGAAATCTGCAGGGTGACTTCTCTGGACCACCCGTGCAAAGACACTACATTATTCAAACCACTGATCCCTTTTTTCTGTACTCTCTACTCCTCAGGTCCGACGTGCAATTAGTGGCCACCTATATTAGATTTATCTTCATAATTTTCTCACATATGTCCCTCTCCTTTTTGTTATTAGCCCAGCCTCCTTCTGTCTCTCTTTGAGAAAGGCACCACTCATCTCTCTACACCTTCACACTTTATGCGGGAGAGCACCTTCACATCTTTCAGTTAACAGCTGGATTCCAACCAAAGCAAATCAGATCATTCCCCTTACTGCCCTTTTAATGTCACCCCAGTTCCTATGAAGAGCAAAAACCTCATCCTGACATTCGCAACTAGAAGTGCTGACATTTCTCATCTTTCACTCTCTATTGTATATGTTTCACAGTGTAGCCATGAAAGCCATTGTAATGCTTTCTAAATAATGTTCTGTCCCCTCCTGGGTGTTGGGCAGGCCACGTGGCCAGTTCTGGTTAATTAGCTGGTAACAGACATGATGTGTGTCACTTCTGTGCCAGACCATAGAAGACCAGATGGGGGTTTTCCATGCTGCTTTTACTCCCCCCACCCCCCCCGAAAGAACAAGGAGAGTGGCACATTTCAGACCATTCCACAAAGTGGTGGGATCTGAGACCCTATTGACCTGTGACGAATGCATGCTGTGAGCAAGAAGCAAACCTTTGATGTGCTAGGATGTTGTTATGTTGAGCCACAGGGACTTGGAAGTGAATTTGTTACAACACATGATCTAGCTTCTCTAATCTAATAAATCAACAGGAGTTGGTGAACTCACCAATTCCCGTACCACTTTGTGCCTTCCCATACTCTTCCCTCTGCTTTTGTGTATCTCTCCATTGGGAGCACTCTTCTCTGAACGATCAATTCCTGCGCCTCACCCCTCCACATCACTCAACTTACTGACAGCTTTCTCATCCTTCCAGAAGAGCCCTAATGCTAACCCTGTCTACTTCCTTCTCTTTACCCAATCACATGCACCTTTTTCTGCCTTTTAATTGTAAGGGAGCTGGTAGTTACTCCTTTGATTGCTCTTTGCAAATTCTGTCTCGCCTCATAGTTATTGCTGTACCTATTTTCCCTTTTTATTGGAAAGCAGGACTTTGAGTAAGTCTGAATCATGAGTCACTAACATGACTAACCTTCACAAGCCCTTGCAACTAATAGTTTTCCAAAAAACAATGGTGGAACAGTTGAAGGCTCAGGGTGTGCAACATAACTTAAAAATATTTGTACCATAATGGCTAAAAGAAAATATGCTGTAGGTAGTTGGAGAACTAACATTTGTATGATGAATTTTTACACATATTTTGTTAGTTTCCTATTTCCTTTCCATTTCCATAACAAAATAGTGAACTCTTTTTAGGACCTAATATTTCTTGGCACAAAATTAAGTTTAGATAATATGTCACTGAATAAAAAACAATTTAGCACACAAACTATTACTGTATTAAAAATTGAGTTAGCTAACATTTATTGTTTGGAAGACTTCTAGAGCTGGAAAGAAGCACTGACATATCAAATGAGAGACTTTAGAGCACATAGGGGCTTCAGAATAAGGGAATGGTAACTAAGTTTTGAAGTTGTTATGTTTTGTAAAGGATTAGATATTACCCTCTTTACAGATGAAGCAGCTAAATCCCAGAGAGGTTAAGTGTTTTGTGTAAGGTCAAAGAGCTTACTAAAAACTGAGTTCTGGCTGGTGCCGCGGCTCAATAGGCTAATCCTCCACCTAGTGGCGCCGGCACACCGGGTTCTAGTCCCGGTTGGGGCACCAGAGTCTGTCCCGGTTGCCCCTCTTCCAGGCCAGCTCTCTGCTGTGGCCCAGGAGTGCAGTGGAGGATGGCCCAAGTGCTTGGGCCCTGCACTCCATGGGAGACCAGGAGAAGCACCTGGCTCCTGCCATTGGATCAGCACGGTGTGCCGGCTGTAGCACGCCAGCCGTGGCGGCCATTGGAGGGTGAACCAACGGAAAAGGAAGACCTTTCTCTCTGTCTCTCTCTCTCACTATCCACTCTGCCTGTCAAAAAAAACCAAAAAAACAAAAAACAAACAAAAAACAACAACAACAACAAAAAAAACAAACAAACAAACAACAACAAAAAAAACTGAGTTCTAAATTCTCTGCTGTTCCTTATATGTTATTGCCTTTCATTACCTAAGGAACACCTTAGTCCAGGGCATAGCAACATTATGCTTGTGTAATGTGTTCACTACTAGGCTAGTAGTGAAAGTACACACACATGCACACACACACATATATATACAAATATATGTATGAACCTCCTCCAGTCTGGGCCCAGATAGAATTAATCCTGTGTTGGTTCCTGGTGAATGCTGGATCCTTACATATCAGTGTTTGTGTTTAAGAATAAGTCAGTATACACACCCTGTAATTGAATGTCAAGAAATATGAAAATATATTGTTTTATTGCTACTGTTCATTGATTTATCGAAGTGATTTATTGTCGATGGACATGCAGTACAACAAATCACTTTGCTGACACCATCAGCTGCCTTAACTAGGTTGTCAGTTCACGACATTAAAGGTAATGGATGGTGATTATTTTACAGTAATGGGTTTAATCAGTGCTTTGAATGACTTAGCAGTCATGTCAGAATAGAGCCAACTCATCATTCATCAAGGCAGCGTTTTGTTTACCAACATCATCTATAATTCATTTGATTGTTGACAATCATCAGCAAATACCTCTCGGGCAAAGTTTTATCAGAGATGGGAATTTGCACAGCTGCAGCAGGCTAAGTCACCCCATGGGTGCTGCCTCATCAGACCCAGGTGGGGAGGGTGCTCTTGCCTGCGGCCCCCAGGAAGCTGGCTTCCACCAGTTGGACCTCTAATCTTCTCACCATCCCTGAGGACTTGATCCTTTCAGTTTCTATCTCCCCAGTCAGGGAGGTCTTCCATCCCCCTGGGGTCTTCAGTAAACCAGGGGCTTCAGGCACAAAGCAGATGAAGGTAGGAATGGAGAGGCACTTGATCTTATTGCCTGAATCAGCTTAGCACAGATAAACACACGGTCTCGGCTCTGCTCCTTGTAGCAAGTCGCAGTGAGAATCTGATCTGACCCATTTCTGAGGCTCAGATATGTTTGGACTAGACCGGTGACCCAATGGGGAGATGTGGCTGGAGTCCATTTTCATAAGAGAATGTAGAGCTTCCTTCAGGAAAGGACAACATAATGCAAAGACCTCTTTTGGTTTCTTGAGCATCTAACATTTCTCCCCAGAAAGAAAAATTCACACTTAGGCAATGTTTTACATTTAATTTTGGTGAGTTTGCAAACTCTCTGTAGCCTAACTACAGGCAATAGGGTAAGAGGGTTAGGATCTCGGATTTTGGAGGCAGCATACTTGTTTGGAATATCTGCTCTGCTCATGATGAATTGTGAGCCCTTGGGCAAGTGACTAGATGCTTCTCATTTCATCTATAAATGAGAATAATGGCATTACCTTTGTCACAGGATGCTTATAAATATTAATATAGGCAACATGCCTAGCACCATGACATGCACAGGGCAAATACTCAAAATGTGGTTTTTATTTTTAGTATTAATTTTCACTTATGAGTTCATGTTAAGAGTGCTTTTCCTATCAGAAAGAGAGCATCAGAAAGCCAATGTAGATGTGGGCATTTGGCCTTGTGGTTAAGTCGCTGGTTAGGCTGTCTGTGTGTCACGTCAGTGTACCTGGGTTCTGTCTCCAGCTCTGGCTCCTGACTCTTGCTTTCTGCAAATGAGTACCCTGGGAGGAGGGTAATGGCTTAGGTAGTTGGTTCCTTGCTACCTAGGTGGGAGACCTGGACTGTGTCCTCAGTTCTCAACTTTGGCTCTGTCCAGCCCTGACCGTTGAAGGCATCTGGGGCATGAACCAGTGGATGTGAGTTCTCTGTGTCATTCTCTTTGTCTCTTAATTAAATAATTAATTAAATAAAAGTTTAAAAATCCAAATGAAAATGGGTATAAACCCTTCATTGTTTGAGTTCATATTTCTGGTTTAGTCCTGTTGGGCTGCTCATTTCCAAATGCTATGCCAGCCAGAGACACAGGGAAGAAAACAGGAGCCATAAATAAGTTGAAAAAATTATTCAGCTAACACTTGGTGGCAGGCTGAAGTACATGCTGTAGTGTATTGATTTTCTGTATAACAGAAGAAAGGACTACATGGCACTCATCTGTGGTATGTTAAAGATCTGGAGCATCAGTGGGAATAAGGTGCCCAGTGGGAGGCGGTGCAGTACCATGAGAGATGGCAGTGCTGATACGAGAGGCAGCCGTACCCAACACACGCAGCAGCATCAGCAGAAGCACCATCGCGAAGTAAATGAGACCATAGGACCTGGAGGTGCCATGGACCCAGGTGTCCCAGGAATATCAGTCAGGACCTGAAACAGTGGACCAAGAGAGGGAGCAGAGGACTGGAGAAA